GTATTGATTCCATTTTTGTGTCTTTTGGTCTCTGGCCCTCTCGCAATTTCTATTGAACCAATCCTGTTTCCTAGTTCTGCATCTCTGTTTTGGTATAAATTTTTTTGTGCCTTTATCATATATTTCACAAAACTTGACATACATCTCATTCACTTCCTTGCCTAGCAACAAGTCTGTCCAATTATACTCACTAAAAAAAATTCTAAGGTTGCCATAATGTCCTCTCCTGAAGTCAGGTTTTTCAACTGCTTCAACCTTCTTATTTTCTTCCAGATTATAACGCATTGCATTCTTTATTCCCAAAAAGACATGGTCACTTTTACCCAAGGGAGGAAGGTACTAGATGTCAAATATTTCTTCCTCCTTCCTGGTAAATATCAAATCTAGCATGGAGGGAACGTCCCCTGCCCTCATCCTCGCAGCTTGTTTAACATGTTGATACAAGAATGTTTCCAGGATGAGGTCTACAAATTTACAGGTCCAAAAATCTTTTGTTTTAGCTTCATATGCTTCCCAGTCTATGGATTTCAAGTTGAAGTCGCCGACTATCAACAGTCGTGATCTATCGTTATCCGCTCTCGTTATGATCTCTCTCATTATTGTTATAAGACCTTCACGTTTACTATCTAGCTCCTCCTTTGACCATGTGCTGCTTGGCGGTGGACTATATGCATTTATGATCATTAGTTTATCATCCTCATGGCAGATCTCTAGTGCTATTATGTCAACTTCTTGTGGATTGGCAGTCATTATTTCGTTTACCTTTAGGTGTTCTTTCATCAGCACGTCAACGCCACCGCCTTTCCTACTTTTTTTGTCCTGTCTCCAAATTGAGTAGCTCCTTGGGAATATGACCTCGTTTAAAATAACATCTTCAAGTTTTGTCTCCGCGAGTGCAACAATGTCTGGTGTCTGCAGCTGTATTACATCACTTAACTCCAATATTTTCGATCTCACGCCATCTATGTTGGTGTATGCAATATTCAGGAACTTGTTCCCCCCTCTCCTTTTTCTTCACTCTCCCTCTTTCAAAGGATTTTGTTGGTTTGCCTTTATGTACCACTTTACTGGTCTGCCTACCCCTATCACTTTGTAGAAAAAATAATTTATTTCTTCTTCATTCCTGCTCTCATTTAAACGTTTTGCCTCGGCGAGGTTCATTTTCAGCTTCTCTCAATCTTCTTTTGAAAGATCTCGTCTTAACGACCACACTTTCCCATCCTCTTCACTTTGTAATTTTCTAGCATTCCGTAGTACATCTTCCATCTGTTTGGCACCATTTAGGGTGATCCTCAAAGGTCGATCTTTCCCTTTTACGTATCTGCCTATTCTCCTGTAGTCGCACACATTCTCTATGGTTGTAAGACCTTCCACGAGGCCAACAATTTTATCTACTACTTTAGCTTCTTCTACAGCTCTTTCTGACCTAGATGTTATCGCCTTTTTTTTGCAGCCAAAAATGATCAGGGACTTACTCCGATCAACTGTGTTTTGCACCAACTTCGGGTTAGATGCCAATTCTTTTCTCACTTCTAGCCTAATGTTTGTTTTATCTTGGTTGCTGCAGTGTTTGGCTTCCTTTACTGCTTCTTCAATTTTTCCTTCTCCTTGGCCACTTGTGCATAGGTGAGTTGCATATCTTTCTTGCACTGTTCTATTCCCTGTGTAACTTCCTCCATCTGTGCTGACACAAGCTGTTTCTCCTGTTGAATTTCCTTACTTAACCTATTGTAGTCATTTATGTTTAAATTTACTTTAACTTCTTCCAAAGCTATTTTTAAGAGTTTATTTTCTTCCATGGCTTTGCAATTTGTTTCCAATTGATTTTTATCCTTGCACAAGTCTTTCACTCTATCCTCAAGACATAAAACTTTGCTATTCAAATAGTCATTACTTTCTTTCAATTTACAAATTATTTCTACCTGAGAGTTCACTATATATTTCACTAAGTTTAGAGTTAAGAGTTCACTAAGTTTACCAATTTGTTGTGTAGACTGCTAATATCAATGCTTTCTTCATTGAATCCCGCAAAATCAAGCTCTGTTTTGTTTTTCCTCTTGCCAGCGGCATCTTAGATGTTCTTCTCTGCACTGGAAACACTAGGGGCAACTTTTTCTCATCCGATTTTTCACTTCCCTTGGCTCATTCCTGTTATCTCACCTATTTTTCAAAAGCACTATTCCTTTATGTTCTCTGGGACACCACTCACTATCATCAACCTGTACTACAATACTTAGGATTGTTGAAATATGCTGGAGCTCCTCTGATGCAAGTGTTGACCCTAGGGGTGTCACCTTTTTTCACCGTGTGTGTGTGTGTAATTACCTAAGTGTAATTACCTAAGTGTAGTTACAGGATGAGAGCTACGCTCGTGGTGTCCCGTCTTCCCAGCACACTGTCATGTAACGCTTTGAAACTACTGACGGTCTTGGCCTCCACCACCTTCTCACTTAACTTGTTCCAACCGTCTACCACTCTATTTGCGAAGGTGAATTTTCTTATATTTCTTCGGCATCTGTGTTTAGCTAGTTTAAATCTATGACCTCTTGTTCTTGAAATTCCAGGTCTCAGGAAGTCTTCCCTGTCGATTTTATCAATTCCTGTTACTATTTTGTATGTAGTGATCATATCACCTCTTTTTCTTCTGTCTTCTAGTTTTGGCATTGTGTGTGTGTGTGTGTGTGTGTGTGTGTGTGTGTGTGTGTGCGCGCGTCTCTCTCTCTCTCTCTTTAAAATAAATAATAAATAAATAAATAATATATATATATATATATATATATATATATATATATATATATATATATATATATATATGTCGTACCTAGTAGCCAGAACTCACTTCTCAGCCTACTATTCAAGGCCCGATTTGCCTAATAAGCCAAGTTTTCCTGAATTAATATTTTACTCTAATTTTTTTCTTATGAAATGATAAAGCTACCCATTTCTCTAAGTATGAGAACAATTTTTTGTTATTTGAGTTAAAATTAACGTAGATATATGACCGAACCTAACCAACCATACCTAACCTAACCTAACCTATATTTTAGGTAAGGTTAGGTTAGGTAGCCAAAAAAAGTTAGGTTGGGTTAGGTTAGGTAGGTTAGGTAGTCGAAAAACAATTAATTCATGAAAACTTGGCTTATTAGGCAAATCGGGCCTTGCATAGCAGGCTGACAAGTGCGTTCTGGCTATTAGGTACGACATATATATATATATATATATATATATATGTATATGTATATATATATGTGTATATGTATGTATGTATATATATATATATATATATATATATATATATATATAATATATATATATATATATATATATATATATATATATATATATATATATATATATATATATATATATATATATATATATATATATATATATATATATATATATATATATATATATATATATGTCGTACCTAGTAGCCAGAACGCACTTCTCAGCCTATTATGCAAGGCCCGATTTGCCTAATAAGCCAAGTTTTCCTGAATTAATATATTTTCTCTATTTTTTTATGAAATGATAAAGCTTCCCATTTCATTATGTATGAGGTCAATTGTTTTTTATTGGAGTTAAAATTAACGTAGATATATGACGGAACCTAACCAACCATACCTAACCTAACCTATCTTTATAGGTTAGGTTAGGTAGGTTAGTTAGTCGAAAAATAATTAATTCATGAAAACTTGGCTTATTAGGCAAATCGGGCCTTGCATAGTAGGCAGAGAAGTGCGTTCTGGCTACTAGGTACGACATATATATATATATATATATATATATATATATATATATATATGTCGTACCTAGTAGCCAGAGCGCACTTCTCAACCTACTATGCAATGCCCGATTTGCCTAATAAGCCAAGTTTTCTGAATTAATATAATTTCTCAATTTTTTTTCTTATGAAATGATACAACTACCCATTTCATTATGTATGAGGTCAATGTTTTTTTACTGGAGTTAAACTAACGTAGATATATGACCGAACCTAACCAACCCCACCTAACCTAACCTAACCTATCTTTATAGGTTAGGTTGGGTTAGGTAGCCGAAAAAGGTAGGTTAGGTTAGGTTAGGTAGGTTAGGTCGTCGAAAAAACATTAATTCATGAAAACTTGGCTTATTAGGCAAATTGGGCCTTGTATAGTAGGCTGAGAAGTGCGTTCTGGCTACTAGGTACGACATATATATATATATATATATATATATATATATATTATTTTCTTATGAAATGATAAAGCTATATATATATATATATATATATATATATATATATATATATATATACAGAATAAATATATATATATATATATATATATATATATATATATATATATATATATATATATATATATAGTTAGTTTTAAAAGTTTTAAGTTTTGCTCCCGGAAAATAGAATAGCATGTATCAGGCCAGCAAGGGAGCCCAAGCACTGGCGAGTGCGGGAAGAGAAATGTTATCCCAAGTGATGATCCCCCTTCCTTTTTTTTTTACAGGGAAGTTTTACTGAATCGTACATTCTCCAATACTGGGGGCAAACACCTCTTTCCCCATTTTTGCCCCAGCCTGGACACCCGATGAACCTCCAAGGTGGCCCCTTATGGGCATCTCCTCCAGCAGGTGGTCCCATGACCCAAACAGGATCCTTACATTGGTTCCATGTCCCGTGTACAAGGCCCAGAGGGGAAGCTGAGGCAACCCCCATCCGCTCAATGCAGTAAAATGTGAGCCCATCATCACAAGATGAAACTGTTGAAAGTGACACACATACAATGCCCAGACAGGGGCCAGGGCTGCTCCATCAACTGTAGGGAATCAGACGTGAGCCCCCTTACCACGACAAGGTCAAACTCTTAAAGGGGGTCTGCAGTATGTTAGAAAATAAAAATTACGGTAAATATAAATAAAGGAGATGACAAGATAAGCTAACATGGAAATTTTGAGCACTATATGTATTACAATTTCTGCAAGAATGAACAATAAACTTATCAGTTTTCATAAATGCTTTTACTGAATAAGAGCCATACACCAGGAAAAGTTTATATACAAAAGAAAAATATATATATATTTTTTTGCTATCACATCTGCTTCAAAGAAGCATTGAACTTATACAAGTCACTCAAAACATGAGTTTCACAAGGTAAACGTTCAGCAGTAAAAATACTTCCTGTGAGTTCTAAGGAAATACAGTAAAATGAAAATTACCTTTAAAAAAGAATGAATTCAGAATGGAGTGCTATGGCAACTCTCCATGCAGCATCCTTTTACACAAAAATATTAAATCAGCCAATATATATATATATATATATATATATATATATATATATATTAAATGTATCCTGAATGTTGATTTAGTGGGGATGGTGGCAGATAAGAGGCTGGCAATGAGATCTTCAAGGCAGCAGTCATATAGCAAGTGGCAGTTATGGCCAATGTGGTGCACCTGCTTCATGTCACCGGACTAGAGGTCAAGCTTTCAATATTCCTTATCCAACATGGCAAGAAGAATATATTTTATATACAAGACAGACATTGGAGAGAATCAGAATAGGGCAGATTAATATACACTAAACTCTAAGTTATACAGGTACAGCATCTAAGGATTACCTCCCAAGAAGGTCTCCCTCAGCAGTACAGCATTTAAGGATTACTTCCCAAGAAGGTCTCCCTCAGCAGTACAGCATCGAAGGATTACCTCCCAAGAAGGTCTCCCTCAGCAGTACAGCATCTAAGGATTACTTCCCAAGAAGGTCTCCCTCAGCAGTACAGCATCTAAGGATTACTTCCCAAGAAGGTCTCCCTCAGCAGTACAGCATCTAAGGATTACTTTCCAAGAAGGTCTCCCTCAGCAGTACAGCATCTAAGGATTACTTCCCAAGAAGGTCTCCCTCAGCAGTACAGCATCGAAGGATTACCTCCCAAGAAGGTCTCCCTCAGCAGTACAGCATCTAAGGATTACTTCCCAAGAAGGTCTCCCTCAGCAGTACAGCATCTAAGGATTACTTCCCAAGAAGGTCTCCCTCAGCAGTACAGCATCTAAGGATTACTTTCCAAGAAGGTCTCCCTCAGCAGTACAGCATCTAAGGATTACTTTCCAAGAAGGTCTCCCTCAGCAGTACAGCATCTAAGGATTACTTTCCAAGAAGGTCTCCCTCAGCAGTACAGCATCTAAGGATTACTTCCCAAGAAGGTCTCCCTCAGCAGTACAGCATCTAAGGATTACTTCCCAAGAAGGTCTCCCTCAGCAGTACAGCATCTAAGGATTACTTCCCAAGAAGGTCTCCCTCAGCAGTACAGCATCGAAGGATTACTTCCCAAGAAGGTCTCCCTCAGCAGTACAGCATCTAAGGATTACCTCCCAAGAAGGTCTCCCTCAGCAGTACAGCATCTAAGGATTACCTCCCAAGAAGGTCTCCCTCAGCAGTACAGCATCGAAGAATTACCTCCCAAGAAGGTCTCCCTCAGCAGTACAGCATCTAAGTATTACTTCCCAAGAAGGTCTCCCTCAGCAGTACAGCATCTAAGGATTACCTCCCAAGAAGGTCTCCCTCAGCAGTACAGCATCTAAGGATTACCTCCCAAGAAGGTCTCCCTCAGCAGTACAGCATCGAAGGATTACCTCCCAAGAAGGTCTCCCTCAGCAGTACAGCATCTAAGGATTACCTTCCAAGAAGGTCTCCCTCAAGTGACCTTGGCCCCAGGGCCATCTCACCATCTCTAGCAGACATGACCCTATCTGCCAAACACTCAGATTGCTCCTTTTAAGTCAACAGAAATAAAAAATAATATAGCATGTGCTAAATAGTGTAATTCTCCAATATGAAGGAAATAATTCTATATTCTCTCATGATAAGTATTTCAGAATTAATGGTCAAAGGAAGTGACATGATAATCATCTCCCTTAACGGAGATAAAGCCTATGATATTAACAATGACAGCACAAACTATCACAGTTACTCTCCCTCTTGCTCATATGCAACCAATTGTTCTTTTGCAATTCATTTTGCAAAACACTTCAATAGCTGGTAATATATATAGTGTACAGTGAGTGAGAGTGTGAGTGTGTGTGAGTGTGTGTGTGTGTGTATTTTGTACCTAGTAGACAGAATGCACTACTCGGCCTACTATGCAAGGTCTAATATGCTTAATAGGCCAAGTGATTTTCTTTATTTAAAAAAAAAATTCAAATTGGTTTATTTAAAATATTATCATCATATTATATTTAGAACATAAATGACTGACTTAGTTATGTTAGTTTAGGTTAGGTTAAGTTAGGTTAGGTTAGGAATGGTAGGTTAAGTTCGGTAATATATCTACATTAGTTTTAACTTGAATTAAAAAAATGAACTCATGCACAATGAAATGGATAGCTTTATCATTTCATAAGAAAAAAATTTGAAAAATATATAAATTCAGAAAACTTGGCTTATTAGGAAAATTGGGCCTTGCATAGTAGGCAAAGTACTGCATTCTTGCTACTAGGTACAACATATGCATACATTATATATTATGTGTGTGTGTGTGTGTGTGTATTATATAATATATATATATATATATATATATATATATATATATATATATATATATTATTTGATTGAAGTATAATGTAAAGAATGGAAGTGGTTGATGTGACATTAAGCTTGCAAGAGAATGGTTGATTGTAGTGTCCATGTTAGTCACAAGACGGGAGGTCACCAGAGCTCCCACTAGCTATGTTCAACACACACAAACCTCTTCAGGCCAGTCCACTCTCTCCTCCAATAGCACCAGAAAACAGCACATATATTTCATGTGCTAACAGTTCTGGTCAACACTTTCCTACAACTAAATAATGTACTTCGTGGATATCTGGACACTATTTCTTTATCACACTGCAGGAGCCCTAATAAAACCTAACCGGGCAGATCTCGGGCAGAGTGCCATGCAGTTGGTGGCATCTATGAGATGGGGCAAGTCTGCCATATTGTCATCTAACAGGCAACTTGGCAAACATCACTCTGCTGGCAGTGGTCTGTATTTTTTGATGCGCTTCCATTCTCCAGTGTTATAATTCATCTGGAAGTGGGTTTCCGCAAGCATGCTGATGTGGGTTCCCTCGGGCTGTGACACGGTCTCCTCACCTTCACTCAGCTTGATGGTCACAATGTTACCCAGATGCGGACATGGATTTTCTGCAATGAAGAATAAGTAATTCTAGTTTTAGTCTCACTTTAAAAAGGATCTTTGAGCAAATGTTTGTCTCTTGAGAACATTTTGGGTGTGTCCAGAGACATAACTTCAATGCCACCACAATGCTTCAGAAACTGTCAGACTATTGTGATTTTATTGTGCTCTGTATCTCTCTTATAACCCACATGAATAATTGAAATATTAAAAAATATTAGCTGCAACATGGCTACAAGGCAATTTAGATATGCATTCTAAAGATTGGAAGATGCAGTTTAACCCTTGTATGGCGCCTGGCTATTTAGCATGTGTCACTCACAGGCGCATAAAAAAAAAAAAAAAAAAAAAAAAAAAAAAAAAAAATCTAAACCTGTTAATTTGTGTTCACTGATCATGGAAAAAATAATAAAAAAAAATCATAAGTGGCATATATTGCCCGCTATAGGGCGGGGAAGTCTGGCAAAAAACAGGCGCCGACTCAGCGTGCATCCCAGGCGGTCTGTTGCTCGCCAGCTGTCAGGCCGGAGTTGCCACAAAGAGATAATTACCTAATTATTTCAATGTGTCCGATTGATTTTTCGTATTTTTTTTTGCTGTATTATTATTCAATAGTGTGTAGTGTGATATATTTATATAATAAAATGAGTGAATCATCGCTGTACTCAAAAATATGGTGTGCATATTGTTGATTCAATTATGTTCATCAAACAGTGAACAAATACTTTGTCAGTTATTACACTATATACACAGGTTATATATAAGTATCTGCATGTTTTGTTCATCATAACGAACCACTAAGTTGCTATTACGAGTCAAAAAGTAACGAGGAGTGACTGCCACACACCAGTCAGCCACTCACTCCCTCAAGTCACCTGACCCGCCCACATTCTCCTCCCACAATACTGTTTTTGCTTTTATTCACTATATACAGACGCTATATATAAGTACAGTACAGTAATTACATTTGTATTCACCATAACAAACCACTAAGTTGGTATGCTGAGTGGCATTGGCAGCCAGAGGCCGCCCGCCACTGGCTGCCACTCCCTCCCTCACCTTACCTGACTTGCCACCATTCTCCACCCACCATACTGTTTTTGCTTTTATATACAGACGTTATATATAAGTATTTACATGTTTTGTTCACCATAACTGTACATCTAAGCTTGTATGGTGAGTAAAGGCACAAAGACGTAGCTACTCACACAGTCAGCTGGTGGCGGCCGCCCTCAAGACCAGACGCACTAATATTTCTCTTCCAACAATATTGTTTGTGGTGTTATTATGCTATATACACACACATTAAATATAATATCTACCTGTTTTATTTACAATACTTGTACAAGTAAATTGGTATGGTGCCCAAAGACCATAGTGGTCACCAGTAAACAACATGGTAAGTCGTGCAGACGTCGCCACCTCCCTCACCAAAATGGCGGCTCCGAACCTACTCCTCTCGCTGTTATCACACTCTATACACACGTTATATATAAGTATCTACATTTGTGTTCACCATAGCGAACCACTAAGCTGGTATGGTGAGTGCAGTCAATAAAAGGTGGCCACACACAGTCAGAAGACAACGCCACCATCCTCCCTCCCACAGCATTACTCCTCCCTCCATGGTGCACAGCGCCAAATATCACCACAATCCTGCTATTATCAGAACCCTGGTCAGTTTTATCACAGTCAGGGGTCTTCTGTAATAATATCATCACTACATAATAGCATGAACAAGTATATTATGGCATTTTTAGGCGATGCTGTGGTCACATGCTGAACAGCAGTGCTATGAGCTCAAGCTGCATGAGTCAGGCTTGGTAGCTCACTCAATACTGAGGCCCCTAACACCCGGGAATTTGGCCCACGATTTTTTTTTTAAATGGTGTCTGTTTACAAGAGCCCTGATGAAGGTGTGGTGAACCCCGTGTATCCGCGGGCCGTTTAAATCTTGCGTAATACAGTACTCCAAAGCATCATATGCTGCTATGCGCAACTTGAGGGTTAATGATGATAAATGTATGGTTTAGACCCTAGGTAATGATAGTTACCAGATATCAATTGGACTATATAGAAGTTGGCAATTCTGAATGTAAACAAGATCTAGGAGTCATATGTAGGGATCGTAAACAAAAAATTAAATGTATAAATGTACATAGTGTAGTAAAACTAATTTTTAGAACCATTAGCAATAAAACACCCAAGATTATTCTTCAGCTTAACCACAGCACTGCAGAGTGCCTTCAGGCGCTAGATCCGGGGTACACAGAACCCCTCTGGGCACTCCTAGGTATAGCGTAGCATTCAACCCTCCTGTGGCTACACGGTGTTCACATTAGCTTTCTCAGGGCTCTTGTAAACAGACATCATTTTTACATCGTGTAACATTCCTAGGTGTGAGAGCCTTAGTACTGAGTGAGCAACCAAGGCTGGTGCATGCAGCATGAGCTCACAGCATTGCTGTTCAGCTTGTGACCCCAGCATTGCCTAAAAATGTCAAAATATTTTTGTATCTGGTATTATTTAGCAATGATAGTATTACAGAAGAGCCCGACTGTAATAAACACTGTGTACAGTGTTCAGATAACAGTGAAACAATGCTGTTCAAAATGTTCACAGCACTAGCCACGGCTCACTGCCACTGTTTCCCCAGTTTAAAAATCTTCAAACAACTTCTCATGTTCCTTTATAAAATAAACTTGTGGAAAATTATTCATTTACAATTATTCATTATTCATTTAGTAATCAGGATTGTGGTAATAATTAGCAATGTGTAGTATGGTGGTAGGAGTAATCTTGGTGAGGGAGGGAGGGAGATGTGGTATGTTGACCAGACCACACACTAGAAGGTGAAGGGACGACATCCCTTCACCTTCTAGTGTGTGGTCTGGTCAACTTACTTTAGCCACGCCTGCAGATGTGGTATCATCTGCTGACTGTGTGGCAACCTGTCATTGTCTGCACTCACCATACCAGCTTAGTGGTTCCCTATGGTGAACACAAATGTAGATACTTATTTATAACTAGCTGTACCCGGCCACGTGTTGCTGTGTCTCAGCAACCTTCCCTTGTCTCCCAGCCCTCCCTACCATTCCTGCCCTCCCCCGTCCCTTTGTTCTCCCCACCATCCCCCACTCTACCGTCCCCTCATCCTCCCCACCATTCTCCATTCCCCATTCCCTCGTCCGATGCATATCCAAATGATCTGATGTTCCCGTCAGAAAATAGGGAACATCAAATGAGCAGATGTTCCCATCACAGAAATATAAGAAAAACAGTTAAAACAAAAACAAAATGAAAACAATTAAAAAATAAAAAATAAACAATATTCATGAAATGAATGGTATGGTAAAAACACAGCTCAATTCTAATGTAATGTAACAGAAAATAATTAAATCAAAATGAAAATAATCGAAATCTATGAAAATTCAATTTGTCAATGCAGTCGGAAACATTGAAAAAGAATTGTAACATATGTAGTACAGCGTGTGTTGATATTACGTGCAACCGATGGTGCTGTTTTAAAAAAAAACACGTTTTTACCTGTCACAGGTGTGACATCTATATAGTAGGTATATGAAAACAAGCGCATTTTTGAATGGCACCTTGTGTCAAAATTTCAAAGCAATTGGTGAAGAACTTTGAGATTACAACGTGTGTTGCTCTTACATCCAACAGATGGCGCTGTTTTTCAAAAGAAGCATGATTATTTCCAGTCACAAGTGAGGCATGTATATAGTAGTACAGTATATAAAATTACGCGCCTATTCGAATGGAACCTTGTGTCAAAATTTCAAAGCAATCGTTAAAGAGGTATAGGTATCAAAGATTTCCCCACACATGAAAAACAGTTTAAAAAAAAACTAGAATGTAATGAAACGTCATTTTTTGGGTGAGACCCGGAGGTGCCCCAGAGCTTATCCGGGCTGATATGCTAATGTCAGACTTTGGCATCAGTCATGTGTATGGAGTTCTGTAGGCCTACCGGAGACCACGAGCCAGAACCTGGCCCCCTCACAGAGACATGGGGAAGCAATGGCCTATAGAAACCCCGGTGTGGTTGGAAGCATTTTATGTCTGCCATCGACCTTGTCAGGCACCCAGAAAGGTAAGCGTCCAAAACAAACCCCTATTCTGGTGAAAATTGCTATCAAAAGCTGAACAAGTGGATAGAACTCCCAAAAAATTAACGAGCAACGAGCATGATGTCACATGCCGCCGCAGCGCTGTCTGCGCAGCTTCCCCCACCCCGGGAGGGGGAAGGGTGAGCCTCAGACCTCCACCCAGCTATCCACTCTTCAGTTCTGAGGCTGGATATCAAAACATGCGAAAAAAACGCCGACTGGGGAAAGGGAGGGATGCTGGGGAGCCTCCTGGTCTCACCCAGAAAATGGCATTTTATTACATTCAACACTGTTTTTTTGGGGGGAGTCCCTTCGGCTCCCCGGAGCTAACTACCCACAGAGGAAAAGTAAAGGGACATACCCGGGAGGCAGTCGCTGCTCACTGCTCAACTCGAAGCTGAGACAACTAGCTGCAACCGCCAATGCAAAGAGACAGAGGCCCGCCTAGGCCCAGGAACGTTTACAAGATAACAAGCAGCCAGGTCCCTGTACGACAGCCAAAATTCCCGCACCCGAATGTCAGCCCAGGACATGTTGCCAAAAACGGCAGCAAGAGCAGCGAACTTGGAAACTTCATGGGCACTGGGATAGACCCTAGGCTGGCTAGCCTTAACAACCCTGCGAACAACCTGGGAGACCCACACCCGCGGGTCTTGTTCTTGTTCCAACCGCCAACTACTGTTTGTAAAAGTCAATTTTCTAATATTTCTTTGGCATTTGTGTTTAGTTTAAATCTATGACCTCTTGTTCTTGAAGTTCCAGATCTCAGGAAATCTTCCCTATCAATTTTATCAATTCCTGTTACTATTTTGTACGTAGTGATCATATCACCTCTTCTCCTTCTGTCTTCTAGTTTTGGCATATTTAATGCCTCTAACCTGTCCTCACAGCTCTTGTCTTTCAGTTCTGGGAGCCACTTAGTGGCATGTCTTTGTACCTTTTCCAGTTTGTTGATGTGTTTTTTAAGATATGGGCACCATACAACTGCTGCATATTCCAGCTTTAGTTTAACAAAAGTCGTGAACAATTTCTTTAATATTTTTCCATCCATGTATTTAAAAGCAATTCTGAAGTTAAGATAGTGTAGCATAGGCCTCTTGCACAATGTTCTTAATGTGATCCTCAGGTCATAGTTTTCTATTTAGAACTACCCCAAGATCTCTTTCTTTATCAGAATTCTTTAAAGATTTCTTACATAATTTATAGGTTGTGTGGGGTTTATGTGGGGGACAATCGCCTAAGTTACTTATCTTCCTTATTATCTTAGCATTATCAGCAAACATGTCCATATAATTCTGTATTCCATCTGGTAGATCGTTAATGTAGACAATGAACATTACCGGTACAAGAACTGAACCATGTGGTACTCCGCTTGTGACATTTCTCCAGTCTGATACACTTCCTCTTATTACTGCCCTCATTTTTCTATCAGTCAGAAAGTTTTTCATCAATGTTAGCAGCTTACCTGTCACCCCTCCAATGTGTTCCAGTTTCCAGAACAACCTCTTATGTGGAACTCTGCCAAAAGCATTTTTTAGGTCCAGATACATGCAGTCAACCCAACCATCTCTTTCCTGTAAAATCTCTGACTCAATCATAGAAACTGAGTAAATTTGTTACACAGGATCTTCCAGATCGAAAACCGTACTGTCTGATATTATATCGTTTGTCTCCAGGTGTTCTACCCATTTAGTTTTATTTATTTTTTCCAATATTTTGACTATTACACTTGTCAACAATACAGGTCTATAATCGAGGGGGTCTTCCCTGCCGCCACTTTTGTAGATTGGAACTATGTTGGCCTTTTTCCACGAGTCTGCTACGACTCCTGTATACAGGGGTGCCTGAAAAATCAGGTGAAGTGGAATGCTTCATCTGGGCCAACTGCTTTGTTCTTACTTAGCTCCTTGAGCATATCTTCCACTTCGTCTCTAGACACCTCTATGTGCTCTATGTTGTTCTCTGGAATTCTTATTGTGTCTGGTTCTCTGAAAATTCCATTTTGTACACACACACACTTCGGAAATTTTTGTTTAATGTTTCACACATTTCCTTTTCATTTTCTGTGAATCTGTTTCCCATTTTCAACCTTTGGATATTATCCTTTACCTGCAATTCATTGTTTATGAATTTGCAGAATAGGCCTGGTTTTGTTTTACATTTTTCCGCTATCCCTTTTTCAAATTTTTTTTCTGCCTCTCTCCTTACTGATGTGTAGTTGTTTATCACATCTTTGTATCGATGGTATATTTGAAGGTTTGGCCCCTTCAAATATTGATTACATTTTTGTGTCTTTTGGTGTCTGGCCCTCTCGCAATTTCTGTTGAACCAATCCAGTTTTCTGGCCCTTCATCTCTGTTTAGGTATGAATGTTTGTGTGCCTTCATGGCATATTTTGCAAAATTTGGCATACATTTCATTTACTTCTACCTAGCAACAAGTCTGTCCAATTACACTCATTAAATTTTGTTTTGAAGTTCCCCAGTGTCTTCTCTTGAAATCAAATTTATCAACTGTTTCAATGTCCCCATTTTCTACTAGGTGATATCTTAAGGCATATTTAATGTCTAACAAGACATGATCACTTATTACCAAGGAAGGAAGGTACTGGATGTCAAATATCTCTTCTTCTTTCCTGGTGAATACTAGATCAAGTACTGACGGTACATCTCCTTCCCTCATTCTTGTGGCCTGCTTGACGTGTTGATACATGAATGTCTCCAGAATGAAGTTCACAAATCTGCATGTCCAAAAGTCCTCCGTTCATACTTCATAGGCCTCCCAGTCTATTACTTTAAAGTTGAAGTCCTCCTGTATCAACAGTTGTGATTTATTTTTATCTGATTTTCTATATTTTCTCTCATGATCATTATGAGGCGCTCTTGTTTGTCATCCAGTTCTTCCTTTGTCCATGTGTTGCTTGCTGGTGGACTGTAGGCATTTATAATTATCAGCTTATCTTGATTCCAGATCTGCAATGCCATTATATCAACTTCACGAGGAGTTTTAAGTATTAACTCTCTTGCCTTATGTGTTCTTTCACCAGCACAGTCTCTCCTCCCCCCCCCCCCTTCCTGGTTGTCCTGTCACATCTCCAAACTGAGTAGCCCCTTGGGAATACGACTTCATTTAAAATATTTCCTTCAAGTTTCGTCTCTGATAATGCGACAATATCTGGGACCTTAAGCTGAATTATATCTTGCAACTCCAATGTTTTTGATCTAACTCCATCTATGTTGGTATATACAATTTTCAGAAACATGTTCCCTTTCCCTTTGCTCTTTACTCCCCCTTCCACTAATGATTTTGTTGCATTGTTTTTTATGTACCATTTCACTAGTTTTCCAGTCCCCTGACACTTTGTAGAAAAAAGAATTTGTCTTCATTTCTATTCCCATTTAGACGTTTTGCTTCAATGAGGTTCATTTTCAGCTTTTATCTGTCTTCCCTCGAGAGGTCTTGTCTTATTGACCAAAGTTTGCCATCCTCATCACACACACACAGCAATTTCCTGGCATTTCTAAGCACTTCCATCATGTTTTTCACTCCATTAAACGTCACCCTTGAGGGGCGGTTCTTGTCTCTCATATTTTCCTATTCTAAAAATCACTTGACATTTTCCTTTGAGCCTTCTCCTAGACCTACTATTTTCTGTACGATTTTCATCTCTTCTGCTGCTCGGTCCACCCTAGATGAAATTTCCTTCTCTAAACTTCCAAAAATTATTATGGACTTACTTCTATCTGCAGTGTTTAGTACTAGTTTACTGTTGGTTAGCAGTTCTTTCCTAATTGCTTGCCTAATTTCTGCTTCTTGTTGGTCATTTCTGGTTTTGACTTTCAAACACACTTCCTAGATTGTCTCTTTCTCTTTTACAACTTGTGCATACATCTCTCTTATTTCTTCTTTATACCTTTCTAGTTCCTTATTAGTCTCCTCTATTTGAGTTGCCAATGAAGTTTCTTGTTGCATCTCCTTGCCTAACTCCATGTTAGCCCTCAGGCTCCCTTGGAGTTGTTCACCATGAGTATTTTCTTGTTAATTTCTTCAAATTCCCTACTTTTCACTTTCCATGCCTCATTATCCTTTACTAGTTCCTTGGTGTGTGCCTCCTGTATCCTTACCATATTAGTCAAGCTGGTAATTTCCTTTTCTTGCTGGAAAATACTTCCTTTTAAAATTATGGAACTCAATCTTGAGACCTTCACTTTCTTGTTCTAATTTAATTACCTTTTCTTCATAATTCTTTAGCATGTCCTCAATAATCCCTAACCTGCCAAGAAAACCACCTTTCATTGCATCATGTTGTGAGAAACCTGCAAAACATTCCTTTGTTGGAGTACTGTCCTGTAAGTGTAGATATGATAGACCCCAATAGACTCAGGAACCTGTACATCAGTTGACCAAAGAGCCAGAGCTCAACCTCCACAAAGCACAACTAGGTAAGTACATAAATACACACATATATACACTCACATAAATATATTTGGGTATAAAGAGGAACTGCCTCACATGGACCTACAGGCCTTTAGTCTATACTTAGGATGAGGTATATGAAGATTGATGATAATTTGAACATACCTCTAGAGCCAGCCATGAAGCCCAGGATGAGGGCCTTCTCAGGTCTCGTAACTTTGTTGCTGGTCCGGAACATCTCTTGTGCCTCCAACATTTGCTCTCGCTGCAAACACATTAAAAAAATTTTATGTCAAGGTGTGAGGAGAATTTTGTGGTGATTGCATACATGCACTAGTGCATCTATATTTTATATTCAAGCCAATAAACTCTATTTAAAAGTAAATTTAAAATGAAAGTAAAAATATTTTGATTTAGTGGGATTTACATCACAGCTCCAGTGCTGAGGCAGTGAGCCATTCATTGCACGTGCCAATAATAATGGTGTAATTAAACGCCAAGTTCAACTTTGGTACTGCAAGGTGTTACAAGTAAATATGAAAAGCCAAATAATACAAGTCATATGCACCTACCATATGACATCCAGTTTTAAATACCCAACCCACACAATCAAAAAGAAGGGCATGCAGGTTTGATCCCATCATCCAGTCACAATATTTCTACATAGATACATCATGTTCTTTTGTGATTTTGTCGTACTGTTCCTTAAGTTTAGGTAAACAGTGAATAACAAAAATAGGCTCACAGTGAGTGAGAGTCCTCGCTTTTGTTGAGATTGTTGCTGTTGTGTAGCAACCGCCGCTTGATTGATAGGAACTGGCTGGGTTGGCTGTGTCTCCGGCTGCGGCGTCACAGTGATAACCTGGGTTACTTGTTGTTGCTGCGCTGGCTGTTGAGGTGCTGGTGACGCTGGTGTTGTCAGGGCTGCTGTGGTCAGAGGGGTTGCAGCATACACCATTTCAGGCTGTACAGGCTGCAACAGTAAAACAATGCCAATATAGTGTGCACCACACACTATAACTGTTTAAAATAAAATGAAAGTAAAATGTTATAACACAATAGATAATACAATATTGACTGCATACAATTATTATGTATTAATATTTTATCTGCTGTGCTGATTATTATACACAGCTCAGTTGCTCAGTATACCTTCAGCCATGTTGCATAAGTTCTATAAGGAAAATATAACTATACCCGAGACTTCACTCCATGTTAGAAATTCCTATTGACATTAAAATTGATGCCACTAACTTCCCCAGACACTTCAGAATAGACACCAAATCCACACATATATGAAAAGAAAGAAAAGTAACGATGTTTTGGTCCATCATGGACGCTCGTCCATCAAGACGAGACTTAAGGCAAGCTTGTGTGACTTTGTCACACACGACTTCCATCTAGGTGCAGATTCATGAAGCACAACGAACCAGTGTTGAATGTAATGAAACGCCATTTTCTGGGCGAGTCCCGGAGGCTCCCCGGAGCTTACTAGGCTGATATGCCAATGTCAGACTTTGGCATCAGTCATGTGTATGGAGTTCTTATGGGCCTACTGGGTGCTACGAGCCAGAACCTGGCCCCCCTCTAGAGAGGCAAGGGGAGCAATGGCCTATAGAAACACCCATGTAATTGGAAGCATTCTATGTCTGCCATCGACCAGGGTAGGCACCTAGAAAGGTAGGCATCCCAAAACAATCCCCTATTCTGGTGAAAATTGCAACCAAAAGCTGAACAAGTGGATAAAACTCCCCAAACAAAAATGAGCAAACTAGTATGACGTCACCCATTGTTGCACCGCTGTCTGCGCAGCTCCCCTCTCCCCGGGAGGGGGAAGGGGTAGCCCCAGACCTACCATGCTGGCGATCCACATCCCAGTTGAGGCTGGATGGAGAAAAAAAAAAAAAAAAAAAAAAAAAGCGACCGGAGGGAGGGAGAGATGCCGGGAAGCGTCCGAGACTCACCCAGAAAATTCAACGCTGGTTTTCTGGGGGGAGCCCCTACGGCTCCCCGGAGCTAACTATCCACAGAAGAAAAGAATAGGGACTTACCTGGGAGGCGGTTGCTGCTCACTCCTCAACCCGAAGTCGAGACTACTGGCTGCATCCGCCGACCCAAAGCGGCACAGGCCCAACTGGGCCCAGGAACGTTTACAAGGTAACAAGCAGCCAGGACCCTGTTTGACCGAAAAAATCCCCGCGCCCGAATGTCAGCCCAGGACATATTGCCAAAGACGGCGGCAAGAGCCGCGAACTTGCGGATGTCATGGGCACGGGGATAGACCGCAGGCTGGCTAGCCTTAATAACCCTGTGGATGACCTGGGAGACCCACACCCTCGAACAGGGAAGAAGGGAAACCGGATCAACCCAAAGCGCGTCCACGGATACAGAAACCGTGGCACGCAAATAACAGCAGAGAGCCGCAACCGGACACAAAACATGATGCACCCCCGGCCTAACCAACCAAGCATCAACAACCCAGGGACCCCTCCGGAAAGCAGCAGTCTCATTCTTCGCCAGAAAAGAAGAAGGCTGCAGACGAACAAACTGATCACTCAGACCGAAGGAGTAGAAACCTCTGCGCCGAAGGAGAGCATGAAGCTTACCTACCCGACCCCCAGAGGCCAATGCCAACAGGAAAAGAGCCTTCGAAAAACAATCCAGAACCGAAGGGGCCACAACAAAACGAGGATAAGAAAGAAAACGGAGCACTCTGTCCAATGACCAGGACAGCTCAGGCGGCGCATGAGCAGGCCGGAGGTGAAACAACGCTCGAGGCAGCTGCGAAACGGTGCAGACGTGACATCAATACTGAAAGCCAGCTGAAGCGGCTCCGCCAGCGCCGCAGGATACGAGGTGACAGTGTTAGGCATAAGGAGACGGTCCTGGAACAACCAAGAGAGAAAGGACAACACCACCCTAACAAAGTGAAGTACAACGACGAAGATGTAAGAATAACTGGAAGGACCGCCAGGAAACTTCATACTGCCGCCGAGACAAAGCCTGCAGGTGGGACACTAATAAGGAAGCCACCTGATCACTATAGAGATGAAGATAAACTTGAGTCAAAAATACCATACACAAAGACTCAAGGAGAAGATCGAACCATCCACGTGACGTACCGGTCTGATCTGCTGGAAGAGATGGAGCAGCGGAAAAACCTCCGGGTTCGGACACCAAGCAAGCAGCGCCCGAAACCACGGCTGGGCTGGCCACCAAGGGGCCAAGAGGACAAGTCTCCCCTGGTAAGTCTCTAAGTGAGTCAGGACCTGGAGCAACAGCTGAATCGAAGGAAAGAGGTGCAGGAACCCCCACCTCGACCAATCCTGCCGAAAGGTGTTGACCCCGACGGCCTTGCAGTCAGGAAAGGGCACCACATACAGGGAAAGGCGCCGCGACCACGCCGACGCAAAGAGGTCCACCTCGGGGCGTCCGAACATCTGGCAAAGCCAACGGAAGGAGTCGGAGTCGACCATCCATTCCGTGGAGAAGGGAACGAAACGAGACAGGCTGTCAGCCAAGATGTTGGACACTACCCACACATGAACTGCCAGGAGAGCTAAACCCCGAGAGCTCAGCAGATGAGTCACCCAAAGTGACCAGTGTAAAAGTGAAAAGGACCGCATCGAAACGTCCCCCGCCCCCCCACGGTTCAGACAATGAACCACCGGGAAGCAGTCCGAATGGAACCGAAATCGTTGACACATGGGCGACTCGAATCCTCCGAAGAGCAAACCACACCACTGCGAACTCCTGCACAGTGCTGTGGGCTCGATGGAAGGACAGACCCCACTGTCCCTGGCTGGCCTGGTGAGCACTGGTCATGAAGCCCAAGCTGAGAGACGACGCATCCGTGAACACATCAAGCAAGGGCTCGGGGAGGCGTCAAGGCACTGAACCCCGAAAAACCCAAAGAGGAGCCGGCGACGCAAAGCCCCCCAGGGTCCGAACCCAGCGATCGTAAAAGGCGGAAGGGACGACCCCAAAGGAACCAGAACAGCCGATGAAGCCAAACCCGACCCGGCGGGTAGACCAGCATCGCAAAGTTCAGGCTCCCGCACAGACCCTCAAGCAACCTCCAGGTAACCCGGGAGCCCCCCAGAAACAACAGGCACACATGTGAGGACCGCAGCCGCAGACGAGACTCCGGAAGAAGAGACAAAGAAGCAGTCCGAGAGTCCCACACAAGGCCCAGCCAGGTATGAACCTGGGAGGGAACCAGATGGGACTTCCTCCAGTTCACCAAGAACCCGAACCCGGCGAGCTGAGAAAGAACCACATCCCTGGCCAGCAGACAGCGGAGTGGCTGGGAGCCCAAACCAGCCAGTCGTTGAGATAGGCCAACACCTGAACATCTAACAGGCGCAGACGGGTCACCACGACCCGCGTGAGGTGCGTGAAAATGCGAGGTGCCATGTTCAAACTGAACGGGAGACAACGATAGCGGTAAGCACGAAGCCCCGCAACAAAACCGAGCTGGTCCCTGAACCCTAGATGAATCGGGACGTGCCAATAAGCGTCCCGGAGGTCCAGGGACACCATCCAAGCGCATGGCTCCAACAGGAGCCGAACCACAGACAGTGTGGTCATACGAAAGGAGGGGCAATGAACCCAGGGGTTCAGACAGGACAAATCCAGAATGAACCGCAGGTCCGCGCAGTCCCGTATCGAGACTGGAAACAGACGGGAAACCCATCTGAGGGACGTCATCGTTTCAACCACACCCAAGCGAACCCACTCCAAGATGACCTGACAGAGCGCAGCGGAAGAAGCCTGCCCCACCAGCTCTGAACTCCCCCGCAGGGGGAGGGGCCACCCAACGCCACCGGAGGCTGTGCGAAACGATCCAAAACGCCCACAAATCGTGGCACCAGGTGTGAGCGAACAGCTTAAGCCTCCCCCCCCATCGCCCCGTCAATGGGGCGAACCGCGAAAGGGCCGGCGCCCCTTACAAGACCCCAGAACCTCACACAGAGCTAACATTGCGCCGACCAGACGAAGGCAGGTCTGAAGGAGGAGCCGAACCGGAACCTGACACCAGTGGCCTACCACGACGAGAGGAACCCCGAGCCTTGGCACGACCCCCCGGAGAACCAGCAAGTCCGACATAGGACGGCAAGAAGCTGAAGCAGCCTGAATATATTGTGCAACGGCGGAAGCCTCAAACAAGAGAAAGCATAAAGGGGAAAACATCCTAAGAGCCAAGGCCCAAGCAGATTCCACAGAGGAGGCAAGCACCGTCTGCCGACATGCGAGCCGGGAGGCATAAAACAGAGCCACCACATCCCGCAAGATCGGCGCGAAAAGCTTCAGCAAAGCAGCCGACGAGCGAGCCGCCAAGGCCAAAGTGCCAGACCTAGGAACAGCCCCAAGCACCCCCACATCCTCAGTGAGCCAGTCGGAAGACAGCTCCAGGAGGAAAAAGAAGCGCAAGGCCGCAACCAAAAGGCCCCGAGCTCGAAAGTACTCCGCCACCTGCGCCGCCGAAACGAAGGGAACCTGCACATTGAGCTGAACACCACCAACATCCTGGGGAAGGGCAAGAGCAAACAAGCACTCAAGGTCGCCCCCCAGGAAAACCTGAAGCACAGTCGAAGTCTCCCGCCACTCAAGCGTAGGGAAAACGGCAGAAGGAGTGCCAAGCCTCCAAGGTAAAGACAGGACAGTCCGCCAGCCAAGACGACTTCGGAACCTCGTAACGGAGCCAAAAAGGGAACGAAGTCCTAAACCTGAAAGCCGAGGGATCCATTGCACAGGCATAATCCGGGTCACGCAGGAGGTTTGCCACAAGGGCCGCCCGCACCGCAGCAAGTTGGATGCGATAAGCCGAAAACCTCCAGAAAGACGGAACCGAAGCGCCCGGGGAAACACGGAACTGAACCAGGGAAGGGGCAGACACCAAGTCCAACTCGTACGCAGAGGGGGGGAAAAGAAAACCCCACCCCTTGTAACAGTAAGCCCCACTCAGAGGGTAGAAAAACCCAGGCGGGGTCCAGCGGGGCCCAAGTCCCCCAAGTCAGCCACTCCCCAGCCTCAAGGGCCGAGATCTCCCCACAAGCACCGTCCCCACTCGACAAGGCTGGCACAGACGTAGAAGCTGGATAGAATGAGGCCCACTGGTCAGACCCAGAGGCTTCGACCGGGGGAGGAGATTTGAATGCCTCCGTCATCAAACCGGAAGGGGCATCCCCCGAGGCTGCCCAAGTCTCAAAACCAACCAACCCCTGCCCTGACCCCGAAACCCTCAGACGTTTCAGGGCTGGAAGCAGGGAAGAGGGACCAGAACGAACAACAGAAGGGGAAGGACTAGGAGGTGCGGACTGAACCAGGATCGAAGCGACCCCGACCCCCCACCCCCAAGTCCGGGTCTCTATAAGCAAAATGGGGCAACCGCGGGGCATCCGGGTGAACAACCAACCGAGCGCGTTTCAACAAACGAAACCTAGAATGCAACGCCTGCGCAGCCTGTACCTGAAGATGATCATCCACAGATTGAGTAAATTGAGTCACCAGCAAGCAACAATACTTACAGGACTCAGGGTCAAAAGTGTCCCCGACCCAACAGGCTGCGTGACGGAGGCAAAAACAGCGAGGGTCGCCCTAAGACAAGGGGACCGAACAACCCTCAAACTTGCACGAAGCGAGGGGGGACCCCGGGGTCACATCCATCAGACCCACGCGTCCCCCTAGGGAATTCCCAGGGTCCCGAGCGTCAACTTGAAGAGGACTCGCGCTTGGGTAAACCCAGGCAGGTACTGATAACCGGTGTCCAACTACTAAACTGTCTAAAGCTGAACCCCAGGAACGTGTACACTCACGGGGACCTAGCAGGGGGGCACCACCAAGTATCAGGGTGAGGCCAAACACCAATGGCAAGTAGGGCAGAACCCCCCACCAAGGCAAAAAGAAAAACAAAACCCGCAAGTGGACAACGTACCCCAAGGAACAAAGTCGGCCGCTGTGATAGGTGACAACTAGCTGCGCAGCACCCTGAGCCCCTACCTGTGAGAAAACTGCCTCTTACCCTAAGGAAAACTTATAATTTCCAGTGTTGAGGACAGGAAGCCTGTACTCCGACTTATCAAGGGGCCTCCAAAGCCAACTACTGACCTTCGCTAGGATGTGGCACACATCAATTGTCAAATTACTGGGTACCTGACCGAGGACCGAGCCGTGGGGACGTTGAGCCCCGAAATCATTGTGAGGTAACCTCAAGGTAGGGTAACCTATTTACTACTAGGTGAACAAAGGTAGCAGGTAAAAGGAACTGTACCTAACCAATTCTGTCTTGCCTGGAGAGTGAACCCAGGTCCTTTGGTTGTAAGTTGAGGATGCAGACCACTTTGCTACAGGATCCCAAGATGCTGGAAAATGTAAATATAAATATTTCTCACCTGAAGTGTGGCATACTGTGGCTGAGAAACAGTTGTAGCAGCCTCACTGGTGGCCGGGGTGACAGTAACTGCGGTGGCAGCCTGGACCACTTCCGCCGTGGTGAAGACTGGAGTGTGCGCCACTGTACGGTACACGACTGTGGGAGACCCTGCAGCCTGCGTACTGGGCGTTACAATGATACGTTGAGGTGTGGACGCACCAGAAGGAGGTGCTGGAGTAGAAGGAGTTGCTCTGCCACCAGAGCTGGCATTCTGCTGCAGTGTGGACCGTGCTGCTATAGTGCCAACAGCCACTGCATTAGCTGAAATAACAAAAAGTCATTAACTCAACCATATTAGTGATTACAGTGACAGTATGCACATGTCACACTGGGGAAGGAAGTGCCAAAGACATCTCTAAGTATCCTTAACCTTCACAACATTGTTATAATAACAATAAATTCATGCGAGTTGAATATTTGACAAAAATATTTTTAAGTTATATATACTGATAACAAATATAGTGAATAGTTACCACATTTTATATTAGTATTATTATACATGAATTATTATATTTCAGGGGATATAGGATGTTCACCGTATGTTACAACATTATGTGTTCACCCTATGTTACAACATTATGTGTTCACCCTATGTTACAACATTATGTGTTCACCCTATGTTACAACATTATGTGTTCACCCTATGTTACAACATTATGTGTTCACCCTATGTTACAACATTATGTGTTCACCCTATGTTACAACATTATGTGTTCACCCTATGTTACAACATTATGTGTTCACCCTATGTTACAACATTATGTGTTCACCCTATGTTACAACATTATGTGTTCACCCTATGTTACAACATATATGTGTTCACCCTATGTTACAACATTATGTGTTCACCCTATGTTACAACATTATGTGTTCACCCTATGTTACAACATTATGTGTTCACCGTATGTTACAACATTATGTGTTCACCCTATGTTACAACATTATGTGTTCACCCTATGTTACAACATTATGTGTTCACCCTATGTTACAACATTATGTGTTCACCCTATGTTACAACATTATGTGTTCACCCTATGTTACAACATTATGTGTTCACCCTATGTTACAACATTATGTGTTCACCCTATGTTACAACATTAAGAATATTGTGAGAAGAGCGTATGGATCACTTTCCAGCTTCAGACTTGCTTATAATAATATGGATGGTGAAATACTAAAGAAACTGTTCATGACTTTTGTGAGACCAAAATTGCAATATGCAGCAGTTGAATGGTGCACATATCTCCAGAAGCACATAAATAAAGTGGAAAAGGTGCAACGACATGCTACAAAAGGGCTTCTGGAACTGAATAACAAGTTATGAAGAGTAACTAGAAGCGTTAAATATGTCATAACTGGAAGATAGAGGTAAAAGAGGCGATATGATCACCACTTACAAAATACTAACAGGAACTGACCAAATTGACAAAGAAGAATGCAATGCCTGAAACCAACAACTTCATGAACAAGAGGACACAGATTCAAGCTAAGGAAACAAAGGTGGAAAAAAAAAATTTGAACGTTTTCTTTTGCAAACAGTGGTAGACGGTTGAAAGTGAGGACCACCACAAAGGGAACGACCCCTAAACACTCCAGAGAAGACAACACTGGCAATGCAAAAGTAGCAGCAGGGTGTACACAGGGAAGGTAACCAGGAGCACATGTAGCTACAAGTACTCTTATATGCCAGGCTCACACTTCACTGCAATGTACAAGAAAAGTGACTAAGGGCTTTTGGTCAACCCAAAAATCATTTAGCTGAATAGTGGAGCTCGCATGAGAGAGACAACCTGGAAACCACTAAAGCATTCAAGTGACCTTGACTGCATCAGCATGAAAACTGCCAGCTCGTACCCCTGGAGGCGGTGAGCCCCTCCCACAAGTGGGCGAGTTGGGCGAATGAGCTCACATTATTTTCCAGAGATTTGATTATTTGTTTACACAGTTGGGCGAGTTCATTAGGCTTAAGTTATTCAGTAGATTGTGAGGCGTTGGTCTCTTTTGAACCCAGAGGTGGTGTAATTTGACTTGCTAATTATATGGATGTCTTTCCGAGTGAGGTGGTAAAATGTTACTGCTCCCTGGTATGAGAAGTAACGGCTGATGCGATCTGATAGATGGACACCATCTCAGTGTATAGCTTCAGTGAGCCACAAGGCTCCATGTATATTCCATGTGAATTCCATGTATATAATTTCCAGTGTTGAGGACAGGAAGCCTGTACTCCGACTTATCATCAAGGTGCCTCCAAAGCCAACTACTGACCTTCCCTAGGATGTAGCACACATCAATTGTCAAATTACTGGGTATCTGATCAAGGACCGGGCCATGGGGACGTTGAGCCCCGAAATCATCACGAGGTAACCGCAAGGTAGGGTAACCTATTTACTACTAGGTGAACAAAGGTAGCAGGTAAAAAGAACTGTACCTAACCAATTCTGTCTTGCCTGGAGAGTGAACCCAGGTCCTTTGGTTGTAAGTTGAGGATGCAGACCACTTTGCTACAGGATCCAGAGATGCTGGAAAATGTAAATATAAATATTTCTCACCTGAAGTGTGGCATACTGTGGCTGAGAAACAGTTGTAGCAGCCTCACTGGTGGCCGGGGTGACAGTAACTGCGGTGGCAGCCTGGACCACTTCCGCCGTGGTGAAGACTGGAGTGTGCGCCACTGTACGGTACACGACTGTGGGAGACCCTGCAGCCTGCGTACTGGGCGTTACAATGATACGTTGAGGTGTGGACGCACCAGAAGGAGGTGCTGGAGTAGAAGGAGTTGCTCTGCCACCAGAGCTGGCATTCTGCTGCAGTGTGGACCGTGCTGCTATAGTGCCAACAGCCACTGCATTAGCTGAAATAACAAAAGTCATTAACTCAACCATATTAGTGATTACAGTGACAGTATGCACATGTTACACTGGGGAAGGAAGTGCCAAAGACATCTCTAAATATCCTTAACCTTCACAACATTGTTATAATAACAATAAATTCATGCGAGTTGAATATTTGACAAAAATATTTTTAAGTTATATATACTGATAACAAATATAGTGAATAGTTACCACATTTTATATTAGTATTATTATACATGAATTATTATATTTCAGGGGATATAGGATGCATATTTTTTGGCTTGAAAATGTCTTTAAATATCACTGTGTTCAATGGATCGACAATCTGACTTTTCGTTGCCTCTGACCAAACATAGCTTGCAGTTTTGCCAGATTGGTGGTCTATTAGATAACTTTCAATGTTAAACATTAACTCCAAACAAAAACACAGTAAATCATATGATCAACTAATATACCCAGTACTTAAAATTAATTAATGTCAAAGGTATCAAATAAAAAAAAGAAATAGTATTATAACATTAAGTTCAGTGTCAACAGTTCTTTTTAAGTGGATATATTGCAGTTCGGACCCAAATGTTATAATCTATCATATCTGCTGGCAGACAGGATGCATTTTTTGGCCCAAAACCTACTGAATATATATTTCATTAACATGCATGAAATATATTTTTACCCTAGAAAACCACTTAACATCACTTTTTAAATAAATGAATGATGAAATATGAAAAAAAAATCCACAAAAATATCCATTTAAAAAGTAACCAGCATTGAATGTATTGAAACGCCATTTTCTGGGTGAACCCCGGAGGCTTCCTGGAGCTTATCGGGCTAATGAATGTTATATTAGACCGGGACATACGCCATGGAGTTCAGACCTACCAGGGGACCTACCAGGGGACCATGAACCAGAACCTGGCCCCTTCAGAGAGGTTGCAGGGAGTAATGGCCCTGGAAAACCCCCTTGTGGTTGGGGGTTTTCCTTATCTGCCATTAACCGGGGTTAGGTTAGTCTATCTTGAGATGGTTTCGGGGCTTTAGTATCCCCGCGGCCCTGTCCTTGATCAGGCCTCCACCCCCAGGAAGCAGCCCGTGACAGCTGACTAACTCCCAGGTACCTATTTTACTGCTAGGTAACAGGGGGCATAGGGTGAAAGAAGCTCTGCCCATTGTTTCTCGCCAGCGCCCAGGATCGAACCCGGGACCACAGGATCACAAGTCCAGCATGCTGTCCGCTCGGCCAAGGTAGGCATTACAAAACAAACCCCCACATGGAAAGAAACTAACAACAAAAATCGAACAGAGAAGTAGAATTCCCTACAATCCCAAGGAAACAAGCAAACGTTACACACTACTGCTGCGCCGCTCGTCCGCACAGCCCTCCCTTCCCCGAGAGGGGGAGGGGGGTGGGCCCAGACCTCACCGCGCCGGCTGCATAGCACTCCAGTTCGGAAGCTAAGCATCATCAAACACGAAAAAAACGCCAACCGGTGGGAGGGAAGGTTGCCAGGAAGCCTCCGGGGCTCACCCAGAAAATGCCGTTTCATTACATTTAACGCTGGTTTTCTGTGGGGAGCCCCTACAGCTCCCTGGAGCTTCATACCCAAAGAAAAGGTAAAGAAAGGGCTGATCTGGGAGGCGGCCGCCACAAACTTTGCAACGCGAAGTCGAGACAACAGGCTGCAACCTGCGACCCAAAGCAACACCAGAACGCCCAGGAGCAGACATGCTCACAAAATAACAGGCGGCCAGGATCCTATAGGACCTACAAATCACTGCGCCCGAAATGAGCCCAAGACACGTTACCAAACACAGCAGCGAAAGCTGCAAACACCCAAACGACACGGGCACAAGGACAGACCGCAGGCTGGCTAGACTTAACCCTGCGGTTGACATGGGAGACCTGAGCCCTGGAACAGGAAACGAGGGAAACCGGATCAACCCAAAGCACATCTTCAGCCATGGCACGCCGGTAACGGCGAAGAGCCGCAACTGGACACAACACATGACGCACCCTTGGCGGAACCAACCATGCATCAAGAACCCAAGGACTCCTCCGGAAAGCAGCCGTCTCAGCCTTCTCCAAAAAAGACTTCGGAGAAGGCTGCAAACCTACCACCAGAACCAAAAGAGAAGAAACCCCCTGCGCCAGAGGAGAGCCGGAAGCTACCCGACCCGACCCCCAGAGGCCAATGCCAACAAATATAGGACCTTTGAAAAACAATCTTGAACCGAAGGGGCTACCACAAACCGAGGAGAGGAAAGATAAGAGAGCATCCTGACCAAGGACCAGGACGGCTCAGGCGGCGCATGAGCAGGCCGGAAGTGAAACAAAGCATGAGAAAATGTATGGAACGGGGCGGACATAACGTCCACCCCGAACATAAGCTGGAGCGGCTCCGCCAGCACCGCACGATACGATGCGACAGTAAGAAGCATCAATAACGGTTCGGAAAACCAAGAAAGGACAAGACAACATGCGAAAGAGAAGACAAACAACGAAGAGCAAGAAAATGACGAAGAGAAACGCCAGGAAACTTCATACTGTCGCTGAGACTAAGCTCGCAGGTGGGACACCATCAATGAAGCCACCTGATCACCATAGAGATGGTGATACACCCACGTCAAAAGACCAGACGGTAAGAGCCAAGGAGAAGGCCGAACCAGCACCGTACCGGATCGGTCCGACCTGCCAAAAGAGGCAGAGCAGTGGGAAACACCCCGGGTTCAGACACCTATCAAGTATCGTGTGAAAACAAGCTGGGCCGGCCACCAAGGGGGCCACAAGAACTACTCTCCTTGGGAAGGACTCCAACCGAGCCAGAACCCGAAGCAACAGCTGGACCGAGGAAATGAGGTACAGGTAATTCCACCTCGACCAGTCCTGCTGAAGGCATCCACCACGAACACCTCACAGAATGGGAGACGCCGAGACCACGCCGACACGAAGACGTCCATGTCCGAGAGTCCGTACATCCAGCAGAGCCAACGAAATTGACGACAACCGGCCAATCCGTGAACAGAGGAATGAACCGAGGCTGTCTGCCAGGACATAGGACACTCCCCAGACATGAAACGCACGGAGAGCCAAACCCTGAGAATCCAGCAGACGAGCCACTCGAAGGGACAAACCCAAAAGGGCAAGGACCGAAGAGAACCCCCGTGTTTCCAGCAATGAACCACCGGAGAACAGTCCGAATGGAGCCAGATGGTAGAGCCCCGAGTGACCCGAACCCTCCGAAGCGCAACCAGACAGCCACGAACTCTTGAACTGCGCTGTGAGCAGGACGAAAGGACGGACCCCACTGTCCCTGGTCGGCCTGGTGAGCAATGGTCACAAAGCCCCAGCTGAGAGACGACCCTGTCCAGAACACATTGAACGAAGGCTCGAGGAGGGGCCAAGGCACAGAACCCCGAAAACCCCAAAGAGAAAGCCGGCAAAGCATCACCCACACAAGGTCCCTGGAAGACAGACCCAACGATCGCAAGAGAGAGGTGGAAGGGGTTCCCCGAGGGAACCAAAACAGACACCGAAGCCAAACCCGACCCAGCGAATAAACCAGCAGGGCAAAGTTCAGATTCCTGCACAACAGCTCAAGCAACTGCCAAGTGACACGGGACCCCCTCAGAAACAGCCGAAGACAGGACCACAGCCGCAGCAACGCCTGTGGAGGGAGAGACAAAGAAGCGGTCCAATAGTCCTAAACAAGATCCAACCAGGTCCGAACCCGGGACGGAACCAGATGGGACGGCCTCCAGTGCACCAGGCACCGGAACCCGGTGATCTGGAAAGAACCACACCCCTGGCAAGCAGACAAGCGGACCGACTGGGAGCCCACACCAGCCAGTCATCGAGGTGGGCCAGAAAATTGAATCCCAAACAGACGCAGACAGGTCACCAAGATACGGTAAAGATGCGTAAATACACTAAGTGCCAATTACAAACTAGGGAAGGCAACAAAAGTGGCAACCTGCTTGATACCAGCTTGATGGGGTTCTGGGAGTTCTTCTACTCCCCAAGCCCGGCCCGTGGCCAGACATGACTTGTGAGAGTTTCGTCCACCAGGATGTTGCTTGGAGCAGCCCGCAGGCCCACATACCCACCACAGCCCGGTTGGTCCGGAACTTCTTTTAGAAAACAGTCTAGTTTCCTCTTGAAGATGTCCATAATTGTTCCGGTAATATTTCTTATGCTTGCTGGTAGGACGTTGAACAACCGCAGACCTCTGGTGTTTATACAGTGTTCTCTGATTGTGCCTATGGCACCTCTGCTCTTTACTGGTTCTATGAACAAGAGGTCATAGATTTAAACTAGCTAAACACAGATGCCGAAGAAATATAAGAAAATTCACCTTCGCAAATAGAGTGGTAGATGGTTGGAACAAGTTAAGTGAGAAGGTGGTGGAGGCCAAGACCGTCAGTAGTTTCAAAGCATTATATGACAAAGAGTGCTGGGAAGACGGGACACCACGAGCGTAGCTCTCACCCTGTAACTACACTTAGGTAATTACTTAGGTAATTACACACACACACACACACTCAGTGGTGCCTCGGATTACGAACATTACTGTTTATGAGTTTTTTGGGTTATGAGCAGGATTTGCTCGGAAAATTTACATCGGGATACGAGTTGCCTCGGAATACGAGGGTGTTGATACGCGTACAGGCTGACCTAGCGTGTGGTGGCGTGGCGATCGCCCCTCAGTTTACCAGTGCCTCACGCCCAGTGACTATCCCACCTCAATTCTTCACCAGGATTTACAGTGTTTTGTTGGATTTTTGGCCATTTGACCATAAAAGTTATTATATATCTCACCATGGGTCCCAAGAAAGTCAGTGGTAAGGTTCAAGACAAGAAATCACATGTGAGGATGACAATAGAGGAAAAACAAGAGATCATTCGGAAGCATGAAAATGGTGCACTTGTTGTTGAACTTTGTAGGCAGTACAACAAATCCACGTCAACGATATGTACTATACTTGCCAAGAAAAAGGACATTAT